GAATCCCGGATTATTTAGGTTGGATTATAGACATTTAAGTGATACTGAATATCCTGAACACATCCCTGTTAAGCTAATATTTATTAGAAATATAACTGATACGATTTGATTTAGAAATCTTTAGTGAGTTTATGTTAACTCGTGTGTATTGCTTGACCGGACTCATCGATCGATCTTCCTAACAGAAATCGATCCATGATGATTTTAGTGTATCGGTCGATGTTCCTATCAAATAATTGATCGATGCTGTCAAGTGCAACCATCCGGTTATTAGACTTATTTATTTGAACGTTAGTTTAGATAATTTGTTAAACAAAATAGTTAATGCTCTATAGTATCTCGCAACCAACTGAATAGCATCCTATAGGATTATAATCCCAATACCTGAATAGAAACCCTAGATCTAGCAATCATCCTTCCATCAAAAAACTTCTTGCCTAGTTGAATAATTATTTTATTCATCTTGGTTACTGTTTTATTGCTTGCTATATTTATTGCTTTATAGTTATTTATCGTTTTATTATTGTACTTGCCTAGATTACTTAACTGGTTAGATTTGATTGGTTCCTAGCTCCTTGTGATTCTATCCCTAAGTACTACAACTGAACCTCTTATTTGAAAGAGTAATTCACTCCTTATGGTAATTTGAGTGATATTAACAACCAAAATGAACTCTTAATGCATCTAAAAAATGAAATTTTCTCATCATTCTTATATCTTATGCCAGAATACTGAATCTCTCTCACTTTCTATCTATATTCATCAAAAAAAAATCCAAGCTTTTTGATTCCAAATTTTTAAGGGTCATATAGTCATTCAAGCTCACGATTTCTGGCCATTAACAATTGAGTAGATGTTCTGGTGAAGTTGTGTGTGCTTGGAGAACTAAGCAAGATCTATCAGTGGTTGTTGAAGGTATGAATTGATTTTTTTCCCAGATTTTTTCGTTAGAAGACTTAAGTAATTTAAGATAAGTTTTTTAACTCTCAAAAGTGTTAAATAATTTCAAGAAGATTATAATGAGTACATGAAAATGAAGTTGGAAGACTTTGTTGTTTATAATTACAAAATTTATTGGTTTTAGTTCTTAAAAGACTTTGTTGGTTTTACTTCTTAGAAGTTAAAAGTGATGAATAACTAATATAAGTTAATGAGAAGAAGTTGTTTATAGTTACAAACTTATATGTTTTTGCAGAGTATATGAGATCCAAAGATGAGAAAAACTACACAATGAACATCATGTTTTGAATTTGAAGGCCATTGAAGTTATTTATTTCATTGATTTGTAAAAGTGGAAAACAAATTGTTTGCACATATATTACATCTTGAGAAACAGCATTACTGATTTTACAAATATAGAACCATACTTTTATTCTACTCATGTTTACTTTAATAATGTAAAGTAATTTTGGACAATAAACATATTTACCATATTTTTCATTAATATTTCTGCAAATTTACAAAAAAAAAAGCACAACTAAAAAGTACACATACAAATCACAAGACATACCACAAACAAAACTATTATAGACCATTCTTCCACAAAGACAAGCTTGGACTCCAATTGAATTGAGAGAAGATGTCAGAAGACTTAAGACTACGCCAGAAGACTTCCAAGACAGTCTTGTGAACATCTTCTGAAAGTCTTCTGTAAGTCTTCCGATGTCTGACTCAGATCTGAAAAAACTTGCAAAAACAAGATAGATTAGTAAGAAAGATAAGGTAAAAATGAAAAATTGATATAAATTTTGGTGCTTTCATGTTTAAAGAGATTAAAGAGAGGTTGGAAAATTTTAGTAAGGAAAAAAGCTAAGAGCTTTATGCAACAAGAGATTACTAAATGAAGAAAAAACATTAATACTTACCAAAACGCTGAGATCTGTTGTAAAAGAGGAGACATGGAAGAAGACTACGTCAGAAGACGTAAGACTATGTCAGAAGACTTAAAACTACATCAGAAGACTTAAGACTACGTTAGAATATTTAAAACTACGCCAGAAGACTTCCGGGGAAAGTCTTCTGAACGTCTTCTAAAAGTCTTCCAATATCTGACTCAGATCTGAAAAAACCTGCATATCAAAAAACGTTCAAATGACAACAATACATAGAAAAAAATAAAAAAAAAATGTTTTAAAGCTTCAAAAATAACTAAAACAATCACATTATGTTGAATCTATAACTTATTAAAATCTAATATATAAAAGACAACAAAATACATATAAAAAATTTATAGATCTACTTTTAAATGAGTGAAAGATGAGGTTTGTGTAATGAAAAACCTGGAAAAACAATAAAATAGTGAGAAACACAAAAATGAGAAATTGATATAATTTTGTTGTTATCAAATTCAAATAGTTTAGAGAGAGGTTAGATAATTTTAGAGTGAGAAATATTACATTTTTGTTGCCTCCATTTGAGAGGAGGAAAGAGTGTGTGTAAATTTTTATTTATATAGGAAGATAAAAATTCCAATTAGGTTAAATATTTTCGATACTGGAGACTTTAGAAGACTTATATGAAAGTCTTCCAAGAAGTCTTCTAGACCCTAAATTTACTATTCACCCAAAAGACTTACTTTGAAGAATTACTATTCGCTCAAAAGATTTATTATTTATCCAGAAAAATTACTATTTACCTAGAAGACTTACTTTAGGCGGGAAACCCAAATTCTTTTAAAAATTTAAGCGGAAAATTGTTGTTAAGTCATCTAGAGTCTTCTAGTGCATTATATCTTCGAAAATTTAAGTCTTCCAAAACCCTAAAATCATATATAGAACTACATCACATGCAAAAACTTTATTAAACTTAAAAATAAACTTATAAATTGTTTGATATAGACAAAACTAAAAACGTTTAGGTCAAATTTAGTTTTTTTCTAAAAAAAAAAATTAAGATTCCACAATTTAACCTTAAAAACACATACAATACTATAACATAGTTACCAAACCCTAAACCAAGAAAGATCATGACTAACTTACATTCACTCACCTATGTCGAAAATAATTCAATTTTATTAACTCTAAATTTATATCACTTACAAAGGTCTATAACTATGATTTTTCCCCTATCAAAATATTTTTAATGAAATTTATAAATTATTTTAAGAACTAATACACTAGAAGACTTTCACTGGAGGACTTAAGGAAGATTTAAGGAAGACTTATTGAAAGATTTAATTTTAGGCGGGAAACCTAAATTCTTTTAACAATTTAAACGGGAAAATGCTGTTAAGACATCTAGTAAGTCTTCTAGTGCATTATATCTTCGAAAACTTAAGTCTTCCAAAACCTCAAAATCAAATATATAACTAAATCACATACAGAAACTTTATTAACCTAAATTAAACTTATAAAGTGTTTTATCTACACAAAACTAAACACATATAGCTAAAATTTAATTTTAGAAAAAATGTTAAGATTCCACAATCTAACCCTAAAAACACATACAATACTACAAAATAGTTACAAAACCCTAAACCAAAGAATATCATGACTAACTTACATTCACTTATCTATGTTTAAAACAATTCGATTTTATTAATTCTAAATTTTCTATCATTTATAAATGTCTATAATTAGATGATTATGATTTTTTCATATCAAAATATTTTATATGAAATTTATAAATTATTTTTAATATCTACAGTCTGAGAAAACTTTTAGGTAAGTTTTCTGAAAGTCTTCTCACTCGAAAGGTTATAATGGTAAACTACAATCCTATTTTTTTTTTGTTTCGTCATGAGAAGATGTTTGTAATTTCACTAGTCTTTGAGTTACTTTTGCATTTGATTTGAGTTGAGGTACATTTTTGCATTTAAAATCAAGTTTTGTGGCATATTTGGCAAATCCCCCCTATGTTAATAGCATAAATTTAATAATATATATGAAATAAATTAAATAGATTATTTGATTTATTTACCATATTGTAAATAAATGAAGGTGTTCTTTTGATTTTGTAAATGGATACAATACAAAATAATAGTACATACAAATAACTTGTCTAGACGATGCAAATTCTTTTTTTTGAAAGAATGTTAAATTTATTCAAATCAAAGAAAACTTTTGTACAAACTAATGTATCTTTAGTTTAAACTGTGATTAATGTTTGATTTCTATTAATGAAATAGAACTCCTTTCTTCTCTTGACGAGAACCAGGTCACATTGCCGTATCGAAAGTAGAACCACCTCTGCCCTGAAGGGAACTGATTCTATTTCGAGTCTGCTTTTCGATGAATTTGATAATGATACTTTGAGGTCGCGGAGCCTTACCATGTCTTCTACCATTTCTCTCTAGCCAAATGGTATGAACTGAAGCTTGAAACACATATTTTTAGGAGGAACCGTTTCACCCCTGACACAACATTCGTGGTGATGAGAACAATAACATGACTCCAACTGTGCGAGTAGCTGTGGCCAAGCAACTTACCCATGAGGTTCTTCCAGATCACCTCAGTGAAAGAGCAGCTAAAGAACTGATGATTGCAGGAATCGATCGCAGCATTACAGAAGAGATACTGGGCATTCGCCTGAGAGTTCCACAGCAGCAACCTATCCCTAGTAGCCAGACGGTTATGAACTGCAATCCAAGACATAACAGAGTACTTTGGTGTCGATCTCGAGAACCAGATACCTTTGTGCCACTGTACCCTTTTCTGCTGTGTTCTAATGGAGTTTCACGTCTGGTTAGTGTCAAAGGAGGGGCGAAACACATCCCCTTTCCCTCTCCACAGAACTACATTTTCCTCTGCAGTAAGCCCCTGAGCACCAAATGAAGATGCGATCTTAACCTAATCGATAAGAGTTAAAACAACAAAAATGGTCACCAAATGAGGTTTTAATGTAGAAGGCATAATTTCATGTTAATGAAGCTACATTACTTTCAAAAACTTAAACTATACATACTAGTGAAATCTATTAAAACTATTTTGAAATGATAACACAAGAATTTAAGCTTCTACTTGGAACTACAGATGAATCTTAAGTCTTAACCCTCAATAATATCACTCGATCTCATAGTTTGGACTTTGGAGCAACAGCAAAATCCTCTCATCTCTTTGTGAAGCTTTTCTTCTTGTTTTTTCATCTTCTGTCGCCTCTAGCTCATTGGCTAACACTATAAGGTGGCCTTCTTTACACACCAAACTCTGTACGAACGCATAGGTTGTCTTAGATACACAATACTTAAAAATAATCCTAGTAACCTATGTTGGTTTACCTCAATGATGGCTCTGAGTTTCTTAATATCTAGTTTGACTTGATCTTGCTCGTTCAGTTGGTCGATGTACCATCGAATCAGTTCCTTTTGTCTTATGCCAGGCAATTCAGAACATGAAGAAGAAAAAGAGTTACTCGACACACAATTCATGTGTTTCAAGAGTTGAAGAAAGAGCTCATTAGCATGGAGAGTTGAAGAGTGATGTTGCTTACCGTCTTTGCTAACAGTTTCTTCGTGTTGTCTAAGACGAATGACTAAGTCCTGTGTGATTCTATCATACTCTTCCTCACTAAGCACCAGTTTTGGAGCTGCTTCTCCATTATATGTTGTTACATCAGTAATGTTTGGTACGATTCTGAAGTAGAAAAGGAAGATAAAATGAAAATATCATGTGGTAGGTAAGTTATGTACCTGCAGTGGCAGAAGCTGGTTCAGCTGCACCATTTTGTTGATCTTCATCTCCAGTACCAGGGTTTTCAATATCACCCGTTTCCATGTTGTTACCGTTAGCATCTTGATACTCAGAGAGGTCAATGTTGCCAGGCCTAACACTGAATAGGAGAAACATACGGTAAACATTTTTGAGACAAATCAAGAGATACTTTGGGAGAGGTTTGAAAGTTACTTAATGACCGAAGTTTTCAGCAGTTTGAGATCCAAGATAACATGACTTGGTTTTACCTGAATCAGAAAGCAAAGTTCCCTTCCCAGATAAGTAAAGGAATGTCCGGAAATAGAAGACAATCGTTAAGGATAATCACAAGAGTTTCCAAGTGACTCCTAGCAATGGCTTCTGAGAGCCTGATCAGTACCTCCAGCTGCCTAACTGTCATTCGATATGCAACTCTTGTGCCAGGAGTTGTATCGCCTCTATGTAGATCAACATAAGACGCGACCAGTAGCTTTCTTTTTTCTGGGATTACCTGCAACCAAAAATATTTTAGCATCTCCAAAACATGATCATTTTTGTAATGAAAACGATTTTTTGGGTTAGTTTGCAACCTTTGGCTTTAAGGTTTTCGCATATGCAATGTAGCGCTTTAGTTGTACGGTAGTAAATTCAGGAGAAAGCGCTGCTTCATGATTCTGGTGAACTCTCATAATATGATGGGGAATGTCGTAATCCACTACCTCATCAGGTTCGTCAATCATAACGTACACAAGATCAAACCTCGAGAGAATTGCAGGTGGAAGGTTAACGTTTTACTGAAAATGGCGTGGTAAGACCACCACTAAATATAGAAAAGAAGCTCCTTAAGAGAACTTAGACAAAGATAAAAGTAAAATTATCCATCTGTCTGTATTCATCATCTTCAAGGATAATCTCACCTTCAGTGGTTTAGATTTATCATATCGACCACAAACAGGATTAGCTGCTGCAAGGACTGATGTCCTGACATTCAAGGTGGCTTGTATCCCAGCTTTCGTAATGCTTATCGTTTGATGTTCCATTGCTTCGTGAATGGTGACCTTTGTGCTCAATGTAACAGTGAATTTACATTAGCCACAGTCGAGGAAACTCAATTTTCTTCCCTGTTAAGCAATGATGATCACTTACCTGATCTTTGATATCCATCTTGTCAAACTCGTCAATGCAGCATATTCCATTGTCAGCAAGCATTAAGGCACCAGCATGTGAAAGAGACAGATAGAAATAGTTAAAAATAGAGCATATAAACCATAGGAAGACCCACACTCTTCAAAGCGTTCAATAAAGTTTAGGTTACTTGAAGTTTCGTTGCGAGGAACAAGTCGTCAATTCAAATATTACCTCAATGCAGAATTCACTAGTTTCTGGTTCCTTAGCAACATTTGCAGTCAACCCAGCAGCAGAAGAGGACTTTCCAGAGGCATACACAGATCTTGGTACTATACCTGCGGTATACCTACAAACAACAAGCCAACACTGAAGCATTCAGATTTCAGAAAATGCACAAACAGTAGAGTATATTCAATGTTAATCACTACTTGAGGAATTGGGATTTAGCACAGCTGGGATCCCCAACTATACAAACATTGATGTCTCCTCTAAGTATGTGCCTTTATGAGTGATTTTGTGTACACCGCTCAGGAGCATAAGTAGAACTGCACGCTTGATGTCTTGATGACCAAAAACGGTTGGTGCTATGCTTCCAACTAACTTATTGAAGTATTCAGAAGTATTTCTTATCTGCTGAATTTCATCTTACTCTTCTTCCTACCAAGTTATAAAAAGAACCAATTGCATTTAGTTGTATATATGATAAGAATGTAAGAGGTCCCCTAAAAGACTATATTTAACTTAATCTAAGCCTCACCATGAACTGCTGCTGATCATCTTCGTTAGAATCATTTTGGCAGTTCCTCATATCAATGTTTCTGTTACCATCAGCAATCTGAAAGAATGAAAACCATTGAGATTAGTCACATCGTGTAAGATTAGTATTGTGAAAGCTTAAGTTTATTGATGTATACAGCTCTCTATTTATACAATTCGAGATCAGAGGATAAAGCCAAGTCGAACTTATCCTATGCTCAGAGTTATCTACAAGATAATCACACAAGAATACCGTAAGCATAATTATCTAGATGATGAGACATCATTATCCTAACATCCCCCCTCAAGACGGAGCACGGTTAGTGAGTCCGATCTTGGTAAAGAGTAGTTGAAACCGGTTCCGAGCCAGTGGCTTAGTTAACCCATCGGCAAGCTGATCCTTTGACGAAACATGTGAGACGCGGAGAGTACCATTTTGAACTTGCTCTCGTATGAAATGGAAGTCAAGGGCAAGGTGCTTCATGCGCGAATGAAAGACAGGGTTGGCACTGAGATAGGTTGCTCCAACATTGTCACAGTAAATAGCTGGAGTTGATGTGATCAGACTGTGAAGTTCTCGGAGAAGGAAGTAGAGCCATCGAACCTCAGCTGCTGCAGCAGATACAGCCCTGTATTCAGCCTCTGTTGAGGAACGAGCAACCCCTGTTTGTTTCTTGGCAGACCATGAGATAGGGTGTTGACCAAGGAAGAAAATGTAGGCGCCAGTAGAGGTATAATCATCCTTGTTACCGGCCCAATCAGCATCGGAATAGGCATGAAGAGACAGGGAGCTGTGGCGAGATAGGAAAATACCAGAAGTATACGTGCCAGCCAAGTAACGGAGCACCCTCTTAGCTGCCATCCAATGAATGTCAGACGGCTTGTGCATGAACTGAGAGAGCTTGTTGACTGCTAGTGCAATGTCAGGTCTAGTGAGAAGTAGATACTGCAGGCTTCCTACAACGTTTCTGTATTCCGAAGGATTGTCCAAAGGTGTCCCATCGCGTATAGAGAGTGATGTCGAGGAGCTCATTGGAGTGGGAAGTGGCTTTGCATTGGACATATTGTTGCGGTGGAGAAGATCAGCAATGTATTTTCGTTGGGAGAGATGAATGCCCTGAGATGTGCGCATCACCTCAATACCTAGAAACTATCCCAAGTCGTCAAGATCTTTGAGTGAGAATCGCTTAGACAAGTTGGTGATAATGTCACGGATCTTGGTGAGAGAATTGCCAGTAACCACAATGTCATCGACGTATATGAGGATGAAGATGACAAGGCCACGATCATGAAGGAAGAACAGAGACGCATCAGCTACAGAGTTTTTGAATCCAAGGCTGAGAAGATATGTTTTCAACTCTGTGTACCAGGCACGTGGGGCTTGTTTTAAGCCATAGAGGGCTTTATTGAGCTTGCACACATGAGTTGGTTTGTCTTTATCAACGAACCCTGCAGGTTGGACCATGTAGACGTCTTCATTGAGAGTGCCTTGGAGGAATGCATTGTTGATGTCAAGTTGCTTTAGAGGCCAGTCATATTTCGCTGCAAGACCAAGGAGGAGTCAGATTGTTGGAGATTTGATGACTGGGCTGAATGTCTCATGATAGTCAATTCCTGCACGCTGATGATAACCTTTTGCTACCAGTCGGGATTTCAATGATTTCTCAGTCCCATCAAGGTTAAACTTGTACCTGAAGATCCACCGATTTTCGACCAGGTTGGTTGCTTGATCGGCTGGAACCAGGTCACATGTGTTGTTAGCAACCTGGGCGTTGAACTCAGCAGTGGCTGACTTACGCCAGCGATCATCAGCAAGGGCTTGCGTGATTGTATTCGGCTCAATGTATGGGGCAACTGCACTGGTGAGGCCATATTTGGGATCTGGTTTGACAATGTTGTTGCGAGATCTTGTCGTCATGCGGTGTTGAGATGATGTTGGTGGGGCAGTGATGAACGTCGTTGATGTTGCAGGGACTGGTGGTGCTGCAGGCGTAGTTGTTGCTGTTGCAGGCACTGTTGATATACCAGGTGGAGTTGTTGTTGTTGCAGGAGTAGAATCTGATGAAGGACCCGCCAAAGGCACCTGTTGCTGACCCGAGTAATGAATGGGAACCAATGTTGGGACCCACGCTGCCTCCTATGTTGCTGGAGAAGAAACATTAGCACTTAAAGAAACAAAAGGGAATTTATTTTCGACAAAGACTACATGTCGTGAAACAAAGACTCGAGAATTAGAGGGATCTAGACACAAGTAAGCACTTTGAGTGAGAGAGTAACCAAGAAAAACGCAGGGAGTGGAGCGAGGTTCTAGCTTATTGGAAGTGTATGGTCGCAGCCACGGGTAGCATAAACACCCAAAAATCTTCAGTTTGGAGTAGTTGGGAGGAGTGCCAAAGAGCCGAGTGTAGGGGTTATCCATTGATAGTACCTTCGTTGGCATCCGGTTGATTAAATAGACAGCTGCAGCAAATGCATATGTCCAGTAATCTGTGGGAATGGAAGAGTGAGTGAGGAGTGAGAGACCTGTTTCAACAATGTGACGATGTCGTCGTTCGGATAGGCCATTGTGTTCTGGTGTATGTGGTGGTGTGGTAAGATGAGAGATGCCATGTTGTGAGAGAAATGTTCGTAATGCTATGTATTCGCCACCGTTGTCACTGTATAGTGTTGTAATCTTGGTCTGAAATTGATTTTCAACGAGCTCCTTGAACTTGACGAATGTGGCTGCGACCCGTGACTTCAGTTTCAGGGGAAAGAACCACATATATCTAGTATAGTGATCAACAATGAGTAAATAGTATTTGTAACCATCAAAAGAATGAATAGGTGAGGACCAGACATCTGAGAATAATATTTGAAGAGGACGAGAGGAAGTAATAGAGGTTTCATGGAATGGCAATTTGTGACTCTTATTAATAGAACATGCATTGCATTGAAAAGAATTTGAAACGCGACAAGAAAAAACCAGGAGAAAAACAAGAAGAAATATGTTGTAAAACTGGAAAGCTGGGTGTCCTAGTCTGTGATGCCAATCTAAGGACGATGATGCTGAAGCAGAGAAAGCAAGAGGAGTGCGTGAGTCATTAGTAGGCCATTCATAGAGGTTGCCATTAACTGGCGCGGTCAGAACCGGTGTCCCCGTTTGTAGGTCCTTCACCTGAAACATAGTAGGAAAGAATTCCACATAGGCATTGTTAGTTTTGCAGAAACAGTTAAGTGATATTAAGTTCTTTTGCATAGATGGAGCATGGAGAACATCATTAAGAGCAAATTTTTTAGAGGGAGTTTGAAGAGAGAGTGAACCGGTGTGTGTGATGGGAAGATTGGCTTCATTCCCAACCACTATGCCATCTGTTCCTGCGTATGGCATGTGTGCAGCCATGTTGTTGAGGTCTGTAGTAACATTATGAGAGGCTGCACTGTCCATGAGCCAAGCGTCAGGGTGTTGAGTTGCCATGTAGGTTGCATTGGCGTGTGGCCTCCACTGGAATTGCTGAGAGTTTTGCTGCGGTGAGTTGTTGGCAATGACTCTGAATGATGGGCATCGTTGAACACTGTGTCCTTGAGTTCCACAGGCCTTACAACGTCCAAAGTACGGCCGTGATGGTCTAGATGGATTGGTGCTTTGTCGAGGGACAAAGGATGGGCGCCAGTTTTTGTTATTGTTGCGGTTGTTGTTATTGGTGGTGTAGTTGTTATTGTTGTTGTTGCTGGTTCTTGTGGTGTTGTTGGCTGTAACTGGAAACGCCGGTGTTGCTGGTTGATCGCAGACAATCATAGCTTCGCGATTGATTAGTTTCTCAGTGAGTTCTGAGAAAGAGATCAGGTTATCTCGTCCATTGATTGCATCAATTTCTGCTTTGTAGTCATCAGGAAGACCCGCTAGGATTTGTTCTATCAGATCTTCAGGATCAATTGGTTTTCCAAGAAGTGCTAGCTCGTCTGCTTTGGTTTTGATCAGACGCAAATATTCACTTATGGTTTTTGTGCCTTTGTTGCAGCTCTTGACTTGAAACTTCAACTGTTTGATGTGTCCTCGAGTTGGTGTGCCAAAGATGAGATTGAGTGTGCTCCAAACTTCATGAGTGGTTGTAGCACTTGCAACGAGTGGTTGAATTGGGAGCGATATGGCACCAATGATAGCACTGTATAAGAGTCTATCTTGGCGTCTCCATGGTTGATAGGCAGGGTTTGGTTCAGCCAAACCATTGTTGATGAGTACTGCTTCTGGTGTAAGTTCAGATTTCTCCAGGAAGTTATGGAGTTCATGACCTTCGAGGAGGGCTTGAATTTGTCTACTCCACATGAGGTAATTGGTGTTTGTCAACCGTGTAATGTTTGACATGTTGACGGCAAGAAGCGAGTTTGCAGGGTTTGCAGGGTCATAGACTGCGGTGCGTACAGCAGTGGCAGTGGTGAGAGAGCTGTTTGGATCAGTCATTCTTGACTTGGTTAGGGTTTACGTGAAGAGAAAGAAAAATAAGAGGTTGTGAGATTTGGATCTAGAATTGCTCTGATACCATATAAGATTAGTATTGTGAAAGCTTAAGTTTATTGATGTATACAGCTCTCTATTTATACAATTCGAGATCAGAGGATAAAGCCAAGTCGAACTTATCCTATGCTCAGAGTTATCTACAAGATAATCACACGAGAATATCATAAACATAATTATCTAGATGATGAGACATCATTATCCTAACACATCGAACTTAAGTTTTTGATTTGACAGTTACTATCATTGACAAACCTGCACTGAGTTTGCGATAAAGGCAAGCCGATACGACATATCTCTAACCCCCATAGCTTTGAGACCTTTGTCTCCTTCATGTTCTGCAGTGGAACTTTTCTGCTGTGATGAGTCTCGATGGCATTCTGCTCTCTCTGCAGGTGCCGCGAGTGCTGATATGTCAGGTATAACAACTACCGTTCCTGTAAAGATAACCCTGAGAGGCCAAACCCCAAAGAAGAACTCACAATGAATGCAACTCTTGATCCTTAAAAAGATGGGGAAATAACTTAGAAGGAAACTAACGTGTCACCCGCTCTAGCCTGTTCAACAATCTCATGGCGCAGAATGACATCCAAAGACCGTGGCAAGGAACCAGCAGGTATTTCTTTAGAAGTCTCCTACATTCTAACTCTGCCAATCCGCAAACTTGCTCTCTTGTCTAAGCAGTGCCCATCTTGCTCTGTTCAGACAAGTTAGGGTTACACATATCGTGGCTGCATGAACGCCATGATTCATTAAAATAAATAGTTAAAGTTATAACAAGATAAGACACATCCACAGCGTGTTAAAAAGTAGCAAAAATTAAGCAGTCAAGTACTTGTGTGTACTTAAACTGTTTCTCAACGTTATTATTAACGCTCCCACAATCTAAGCACTTGAAGGTCCCGAAAATAAACTCAGTTCTCACTTCGCTAGTTCGAGTAACCACACAAGTCACAGAAAATAGTTTCCCGATCTCTGCAGTGGTTAGCTCCCTCAACCTGGAAAGTTGATAACCAAGTCATCTATAATGTCAAAATCATTAAGCTGATAACTTTAACGAGGAAAAAAGAAGGCATTTCGATTACCTCTTGGTGAAAGGGAGGTTATAGAAGGAAACATTGATACCTTTGTTGGGAGTGTCATGAGAAACAAAAAGGAGGATTCATTTCGATCACAAACCTCTTACACGCATTCCTCAAATACGGCTCAAACCTAAACCAATTTCAACCCCAATATTTTAACAAACCTAGGGTTTGTTAAGACACTTACACTATTAGAGAAAGCACAAAGCTAAGGCACTTGTCGGCGATGGCTATCTGAAGAGCGTCGTTGAAATCCATAACATATGAGAAATTAATGTACATCATCGCCGATTCACCGCCTCAGATTGCTTCAATCTCCGCTTCGTAGTACAGCTCCGGCTTGTTCACATCCTTTCGAAATCTGAAGCGATATGAACTAGAAGTTAATATAGCATCGAAATAGAGCTAATAATATTTCAAAATTCGGGGAAAGAACAAACCTCTTGAGGAACTCTAAGAAGACATTCTCCACTTGCTCGTCCATGACAAACACTCCAAAAGCCTCCATTTTAAAAGTCTACCTAGAAACCCTAAATTAGTTTGAACAGTGTGTATATTGAGGCTTTCTCCACACTATATATGTGCAGAGAAGAATGTTACAAGTACCATATGTAGCGGAATATCAAATGGGCCTCTCTACATTTTTCCGCCAAATCTGTAGCAGTTAAGGGCTTTTGATGTTGAGCCTGGATATCGAGCCTTAAAAATATTAAGGTGGGGGCATTAAATTAAATTTTGGTTTATATTTTAAAGGAGAAAATGGGTATTTAAATACTGAACTTACTCAAAATTGCCGAAAAATATACAAACTCTTCATTGACCTAAACAAATAACAAACTTACGTTTACTACGCCAATTAATTACGTTGACTGCATGATATCACTCAAATGTTAAACCCTAAGAAGTGAATTACTCTCTCAAATAAGACGTTCAGTTGTAGTTCTTAGAGATCGAATCCACAGGGAACTAAGGAACACAAATAGATGTAATCCTAAATGATTATGCTAGGTTGATTAGGTTTAAAATAGTAAAGTGCAGTTTTGTAAGCAATGATAAGTTGCTTAAGAGAATGAGTTTTAGGCTTAAAACAATAAAAGAAAGTAGTTAGATTCAAGGTTTCTATTCAGATATTTAGGATTATAATGATACAGATGTTTTAATGAATTGCTTGCAAGATATATGAGAACTTTGATTCTTAGATAGATATAATAGCAGTCGCTAAATAGACACATCCATTGATCTTATTGCCAGCAATATCGACCGATGGTACGATCGCCAGATCAGACGATATAGGTTGCCGTCGATTGATGACTCTATAGGAGAATCGATCGATATAGCATAAGATCGAATCAAAACTGTGTTCACCAAGATCATAGACCGGCTCTCGCACAACCCTAGAGGATCTAAGCTCATACCAAATGATTTCAGGACAATGATTAACAAGTTAAATCACATCCATGATCATACTCTAGTAGCTAATCTAGAGTAAGCATTAGGGTTCATATGGATAATGAATATCAAAAATTCAACATTCAATAGTTGGGCTAATCCCTCATAACTATTTGAACCCTAAATCTAACAAAGAGATCTACTCAGACATAGCTGAGATATTCATAACAGCTAGGTAGTAATAGAAACTCATAGATTAGATGATTGAACTTTTGGTTCTTGGAACAACAAATCTCTTTGTGTGTTTCCTCTAAATCTAAAATTCTGTAACCTTTAAGAAATTAAGATGAAAAGAAATACTTTATAGAATAGAACAAAGTAACAAGAAAAGTATGCAAAGCTTTTCAAGTACAAAAAAAACTAGAACAATAGAAACATTCAAAAAGCATGTCTAGCCAAACACAATGGCAAAAACTATAAATAAGAGTTCCATTAGGTTAAAAAATCGTCAGGGTCATTATTGTAATATTGGGAAGACTTGGGCTTCAAGTCGGCCAAGTTGGACTTGTTCTCCACGCATCATATCGATCGATGGTGCATGGTGTACATCGATCGATGGAGTATCTCGACTTCATCTTCAATAGAAGCGTCATCGATCGATTACACAGGGTGTGTATCGATCGATATGTGTCCTTATTGTATGATCTTCATAGTCATCTCGGAAAACTCTCCTTTAAGCTCCAAAAGGGCACCTAAATCATCACTTTACTCCAAAATGCTCCTGAACCTGAAAACATACCTAATAGACTCCAAAACATATATAAAACTCATAAAAACATATCAATACCATGGCTAAAAACGGGTCAAAATCATGGTATATCAACTCCCCCAGACTTAACCTTTTGCTTGTCCTCAAGCAAACTATTAGTCTCTTTTAGAAGAAGTTTAAAAACAATAGGGACTTAATAAAATCTTTGCTCTAAAATCATCACTTCTACTTTGTTGCAAGCCACATCTCATATTACTAACTACAGAAGTACATTATACCATATCCTAACTTAGCAACCAAATGAATCAATTTGGTGTCTGTCTATCCCCTCTACTGATTTCATTTATGCATAAAATAAAGGTGTAGGATTTACCTTGGGAGTATCGATCAAAGAACACTTGGATTCAACTCATACAAGTTTCAGGCATTCTCATCCTGGTTCCTTTTCTCTCTTTATCCCCCTTCTCTGAATCCCAAACTTTCTTTTCTTTTATATCAATCCCAATGAACAACTAATGTTCATCTTATTGATCTTTCAACTTTTATAGTCTCTTTTTGACAAAGTGTAGGAAAATAGTGGGGTCGTAGGTAATGTACCTCTCCCTCGCTTCCACAATGTGTGATCATTCCTTTGATTTAGAATAGTGGGGTCATGGGTAATGTACCTCTCCCTCTGCCTCTTAGGAAATCATCTCAATCTTTTATTTTCTCTTTACGGGATGCCAAAGAAAGGAGAGAAGGAAACCAAAATTTTTGAGACTTTTACCTTCCCGACTTGCGTGAGGACTCTGATCCCTTGTATACCAAGCCCCAAGACAAGCAATAGATGTCATGTTAGGTTTGAAATCAGCTTTGGTTCTTCCAAACAATCATGAAAAGTGTTGTCATAGGATGATCGGTGATCCACTTTAGCATCTATAGTACTTTCTGCAATCAACAATTCTAAGAATGGTGCTAAAGAGTAGTAAGATAAAAGCAAAAGAAAAACTTTTTGAAATATTTTTGTTTCTTGACTCAATAAAACCAATTTTTGAAAAGTTTTTAAAGAGATCAAAAAGGTAAAGTAGCATCAATAATTCACTCCCCCCATACTTAAATCATACACTGTCCTTAGTGTATAACTAGTCGGAGTTAGAGCATAAGAAAAAATAGATGTGTAACTGATATCGAAATTGTGAACGATATACCTGACCAATGTTCGTATCGATCGATGGTGAGTCACTTCCATCGATTATCATGGATAGGGTTATGTCGGGCGATGTAGACAGGGTCTCATCGGTCGATAGAGGTAGTGATCGTGTAGCTGTGTTCCTAAAAACAAATAAAAACGAAAGTAAAAAGTAAAAATAAAATAAAACTAAGTGAGAAAATACCTAACAGTGGGTTGCCTCCCACTCAGCGCTTATTTAAAGTCATATAGCTTGACTATGGAGGTATGGTGGCTAGTGAGGTGGGTTGCAGGTACTTTTTGGGAAACAAGTATCCTCCTTGTCTTGTGATTCTTCAAACCAGGAAGTTAAAAAGCTTCTTGTGGCTTTCTCGCTTCGGGTCATACTAGCTTGCAAACCATGGACCTCATAGTGGATTCTCTGTAACCACTCCTCAATGCTTGATAAACTGCACTCATGTCGTCCAGCGTTACTGTAGGTGTTCTCTGGATAAGTACTCATCGGCATGGTGTTGAGGTGTTGGGTATATTTCAGAGGCGATAGGGTGGTATCGATCGATCGCGGTGTAGTCCTGTCGATCGATGTGGATGGATGTCTGTTGTTCGATGGGTGCAAAGGCTCGTCGATCGATGCGGACTGGGCAGGTTGGCTTGCGAGCTGGTTCTTGATGTTTCCGATCTCCTGCTGAATGTCCTCCACTGTGCACTTCAAATCTTGAACGTCACCTTGTACCGGGAACCAATACTTGTTTAGTAATCTGTAATCTTCGTCTTCACAGAATTCAATAGATCTGTAGATATCTCTTGTGGCTTCTTCAAGTTCTTCTCTGGTGCAGTAGTCTGGTGCGGGTGTATCGATCGATGTGCTGGGTATATCATCGATCGATGTGCTGGGTATATCATCGATCGATAGCCTCTGTAAGTGACTCTCGATAGGTGCGTCAAAGGTCGTGTCGATCGATGGTGATTGAGCTGCATCGGTCGATGGTCGTCCCTGAGATTCAAGTTGTGCGCGCAATATGTTGACTTCTTCTTGTAAGGCTTCTCTTTCTTTCCGTGCTAAGTCATTGCTAGACGTATTCCATAGTAGTTCTCCTTAAAGCCTCGAGATGACTTTCTCATGTTCTAAGCTCAATCCTGCTTTCTCCCAGTTGTGTTCACTGGTTCTTTCATTCAGCATGTCGGTGACTTCTGCTTGTGTGTAGAGCTTGCAATCTGGAACTCCTTCAGCATATGGTTCAGCATGCTCTCGTAAGCAGAAACAAGAGCGCCCAAATAGTGAGGCTCTTTTAAGCAATTTTCCCATGTCTTCTTTGGAAACATGGATGATATCTCCGTTGACCCCTCTTGCATAACCACTCTCATCTCTGTAGACACCAAATTCGTCTTTCTTTTCCCAGAAGAAAGGACGAACTCCGTGTTTGAAAGCTCCACTACAAGAAATATGGATATTGGTAGCAGTCACGAATTCACGAACTGCTACTAAAAATAGTTAAATCTGATCCCAACTTTTTCGTAGCGTTACATTTGCACTAGGAAAAAAATTCATTAAGCAGGAAAGCAGAATCACTCCTATGGCTGAAATTTTATTTTAGAGGGAACACTTCCTTTTTTTTTTTTGGTTTTCCGCTACTCGACTTTCTTTTTCAAACATCATCTCCCTTATTCACGGCTCCATCACACGAGTCTGAACCCTCATCGATTCATGCATCAAGCACCAACTCCATACCCACCAATTCTGGTTTGGCTCAGAATCTAATCTTAATCTGAATCTAAATCTGGCTGAAGATGAAGAAGTACGGATTGCAAATCAGGGCTCCTTCGTCTCAGAAAACGATGAAGACGAAGATAACGATGATTTAGAAGGAGATTTCTCAGAAAGCTTCCAAGACCAAGTCTCTGAAAGAAGTATGTTTCCAATTCTGACTCTGTTTCTTAGTTTTCTTAGTTCTTTCTTAG